AACTTCTGTCAAATAACCCCATAAAAAAGGAATTCGGTAAATTTGCTTTAATGTGAGAAACTAGTTACATTTTGTTACATTTTTGTGCTAAGCAAACTGAACTGCGATCATCTGAAACAAATTCCCTTTCTGTCTAGAAGATCTCTTCATTCACAGTCATGCATTCTTTTCAGAAAAACTATGTGCATATTTGACACATAGGATTCTCCGCCTACACAAATACCCTTAGCAAATTGTCGGAGTACTGGGGTTACTCCTACTGTCCTGTGGTTTTTTTGTCTGCATCTAGGGAGGTGACAGTCTGAAACATTTAATTTGCAAGTTAAAGAAATTGTTTTAGTAGGTCAGAGCAAGGAAAAGGCTTACAGGTCCCAATGGAATCAGCAGTTCCAATTCAAGTACTACAAACACTGCTCAGTGAGGCTATCTCTGGATTTCAAATCACTGTAAAGTTGCCAGACCTCAATAAATACATTCCTCTCATAATTCTTTTAATACCACAGCCCTGTACCAAACAGAATTATTAAGCATAAGATAATAATAAAAAACAGACAAACTCTAAGGACGTTCTCTAGAGATTGTGCAGTGAATGTATGTGCATGACAAAGCATTGCAGTCAGACCTTGCTGGAGAACGTTGAAAGTCCCATGGCTGATACACGTTAAAAAATGTATGTCACAGACATTCTTTTTGCAATCATCATGGCATATTTCAAAACTTTAATTCTTTCCTAATTCTCTTTAAGTCATGTTTTATTATTTGGGAAGGCTAAACTCTGGCTATGTTGTGGGATAGAACATAAAATTAAAATTGAAAAAAAGGGAAAAACAGAAATGAGTAGCAGGTTGTTTTTTTATTTTCTAAGTTACTGAAGATTTAAAAACATTTAATGGAACCTCAAGAGCTTGCAAATGTTTCCACTGGTATAACAAGGATGACATCATGTGATGGCAAAGATAAAGATAAACAATAAATTCAAGCCTTTCATATTTCCATAAATTAAAAAGAAGTCAGATTTTTCTTTAATTTAATTTACTCTGTAATTGCGTGGTTTGGAATCTGCTTAAGCTGTAAAGAAGCTGGTGTTCCCAAACAGAAAGTCAATGATTCTATGAGTGAAGTTCTACTGGAAACATGAAGTTGAATTTGTTGATCATAAGCCTTTGGTATCTTCGCTGTTTCCCATATTAATCATAACAGGCAATGGTAGTTCTTTTCTCTGGGTTTTTCTTTTTTCAGGGTTCATAAATCTTAGCTTTGACTGTTGCACGAAATATTGAGCATTGAGGGCATTAGGTTACTCCTGTAACTCTGCCTTCCTGAAATTGAAGATGATCTACAGTACAGTACCAACCAAAGCCTTTTGTACCACCTCCATTAATAGGCCAAATGGAGCAGGAGAACATGTTTCTGCTCCTTTTCCTTTCTATTCCATAGATGAGCACCAAATAGGGGCAGTCAAGCAGTCACTCTCAGTGAGCAACCTGCCAATGTGATTCATAGGCAGCAGTGTGGAGGAATGGACAGGTATGATGTAGGCAATGTATGATTTGTCTATAGACAAGCCCATTATGGAAGAATTCATCAGGGCCAAGACCTTCAGGGTCCAATGGTGAAAAATCAATTAAACCCACAGCTTCCACCCCTTCACAGAGTGTAATGACATTACTACTACTCTATCACTTCACAAGGTGATGAACAAAGATGTACAGATCCTGCAGATAGGTGGGGAAATGGGGAAAATGAACATTTCTGCTGCCCCAACCCACAAGGTGGAACGCCATGCAGGAAGTAAGGCCAACAACAGCCAGTCAACTCTCAATTAGGTTGTGTCCCTGCCCATGGCTAGATGCCTTTGGGCACTGAATATATTTTCAGAGGCGCCGGGAGCTCCAAACCCGTCACAGATGCCAAAGAGGAAATCTGAGAGGGGGTCCACTCAGAAGAGCAGGCCGCCACAGCTGGCACCTGCCCCAGAGGTGGATCAAACTCCTCCACGGAGCCTCACGAGAGAGGGAGAGAGGAGCCACACGATCGAGCTCCTCACCAGGCAGGGGGGAAACAGGTGCCTCTGCCACAGGAGCAGCGAGAGGGAGAGCCTGGGTCTGCTGCCGAGACGGCGGCTTTCGAATAGCTGGGAGACAGGATGGGAAAGAAAAACGTACCCAAGAGCGGAGCAGATTCTAACTGGGAGGACATTTTGGATCGATCGCCGAACAGGTGGTACTGTACTTAAAGATTGTACAGATGACACAATACAGTATGTGTTGTCCTTCAGAGTGGCAGTGGCACAGTAGAGTTATGGATACAGTATCTTCTAGCGGGAGCATCTTCTGGCAATTTGCACAACTGGGAAATCCTAGCATGGCAATCACAATGCAATGTGATTTGACAGTGACAGTGCACACTTCCTTAATTTCATATAGTGCCATCCCTACTGTCAGTCCTCTTTCTGATTACTTAAAGCATGAGACAGCCTGGCACCAACACTGCACAGAACACCCAATTGGACAGGACACAGGTGCGAGGAGCATTTCTTACCTTGCTTACAACTATTACAGAGAAGCAGAAAATAAGAAGTTACCTACGGGATGCAATTCATGCCATACAGGCTACATCTCTATAACCCATGTGGAAGCATGGGGTAAACAGTCTGTGGTGATGTACCAAGGTGACCTCAGCACCAAGGTGCTCAGTAGCATGGAAGCACACAGAGACACAGAGCTACACTGGGATGCAAAGGACACTGATGCACTGGAACCCACTGTATTAAACCTACGGAGTCATACTGGAAGGTATGAGGCACAGGTAAGATCCAAAACCTAAAGTGTCAACTGGTACTGATACAGATTCAGGTGCAGTCAGAATAGGTAAAAGTCAATAATGGGGACTGCACTGCTACCCATCACCCCCAAAACACAGCACCAGTTTCTTCTCTGCCCTCTCGCACTCCTACTTTTTATTGTTCAGCCGGAAAGAAAAGAGCAGGAAGAAAATGGTAATGTGACTGGCTACTGTAAATAAAGAGAGGAAGAGCTTTTTCAAACCTCTTGCTGTGATTAACAGAAAAACAAAATTGGAGGGGTGTGCGTGTGTGTAGGGAAAAAAAAACATTGTATGGGGCGGGGGGGGCGATGGAGATGGTAGAAGAACTGTGCCTGCATTTGCAAAAAGTAGCTTTGAAGAGGACTGGGACCATTTGCCATCTTCAAGAGAGGGACTGTGTGTGGCTCGATTCTGAGACGTGGTGCAGGGCCAGATTCCAGCTGAATACACATACAGTACACACGACGAGTCACTGACAGAGCTCGGAAACTCAGCCGCGTCAGGAAATGAATGAATAAGAGAAGGAGGCTTTCTAGCCCTGTATCTCCTCAAGAAAGGCAGGGGCAGAAATTCCTCCTCCCTTATCAGCAGCTTTAGTATTAAAAATGAGTCTTTTTCACCCTGGAGGCAGCGTTATCATCCATATAGAAGGTTAATCTTCTGAATTAAATGAACTGTTTAATTATATGTTGAATAAGCAGGGAAAAAAAAAAACTTCAACACTCCACGGTACCTTGTATATCTAAAATTACACAATTAATACATGTTTTTATTGTGCAGGAAGCATTAAACTGAAGATGTTTCTCTGAAACACTGTTAATAATAAATCACTTACATAAATTAAAATACATATATATATAAAAAGGGGGGCGCTGAAGGTTTCCAGCCTTTCGCTACAATAGCTTTGGGGAAAATTAATTGTTTAGAGGCAATAATATGCAGCCATTTTCTTCGCATAACTGGGATACCTGAATGACTGTCTCCATCAACAAGAAGAAAAAAATTCAATTCTGGATTATAATGGGAAATGTGGATTTACATACTGATTAGGAAGAGACTTGCTTAATCTGATTTTTAATCTAAGTATGCAGTGAGCACATTAGGAACGGAAAAAATTGTTTCAGTGTAGGTTACAAGGCTACAGTAGATCTGAGTTGATTACTTTAAGCGGACCAATATTTTATTTGTTCATCTGATTATTTTCTCCACTGAAGAGCCTTTTTTTGGAATTGCACATTTTTCTAGCTTTGGCTTATAACTGTAAAATTTAAACATGGTTACGACTACAGACCAAACATGCACAACTACATTATTTCCTTACATAAGGAACAGTTAAATTTAGCCCACCATAATAACCTAAAAAGCCGTGGGCCTTATATCCAAAAGTCGTAGGTGCTTGTATTCTCAAAGTAATCAATGAGTATTTAAATGCCTGAGTGTTTCCCTATAAGGGCCTCGTCTATTCAATTATCTGAAACTGCTGACTGTGCTACATGTATGTGTTGAAATACGCTCAGTGTACATGGCTGCAGAAGTCAACATATTAAGCTGAATGGCAGATATATATCTGTTCTGTAGCCTTTTTAGGGTTGTCTCTGCTTTTCATAGGAACATGACAGAACTGGTGTGCCTCTATGGGCTATTATCTTGAAAGATGATCCTTCCAGAAACTTGAGAAGACCCCCGCCCAAGTCTGAGGTGTGACAGATACATAAAATACACGCGCAGTCAGCCGCGCAAAACTAAAACCTTTAAGGGGACATGACAAATAGACGTAATAAGACAGAATTAATGGTGCTTTGTCACTGTGTTGAAAGACAACAGATTTCACTTAGGTGCGTTTCAAAAACACTTCAGTGTAAGCTGCAGGGACATTCCTTCCAGCTCTACAAAGTGTGAAAAATAATGACTCTCCCCCCTACTTTTAATACACTTACACAGTTATCAGTGGAAGAGTAACTTGTCAACTTTCACTTTACACATTCAGGCCGTTCGGACCCCTCTGACCCATTCACCAGCAAAAAGCCACGATGAAGGAAGCCTTCTTTTAAATTGTTTTAGGTGTGGCTGTGTCCTGCAGCGCCCCAGAGATCAGTTCGCGCCGTGTTCCACGCCGCAGTGCCCTGTGTTATGCGTGGGCACCCTGGGAGCTCCAGTCGCGCAATGTCTCATACCTGTGCACTCGTGCTGCAGGCCCTTCCCGTAATAGCCTCTCTCACAGACGCAGTCGTACTGGCCGGTGTGAGTGCCGCATTTACAGCTGGCCATGACGTCACAGCAGTCCCGCCGGGCTTCGCACAGTGCAGAGCAGCGGGCGGCGTCCTCCTGCGTGTAGCGTCCGGAAGGGAGATCTGAAATTGGTTTTTTTTTTGGAGCAGAAGATACAGCAGCTCAGTATCTGTCGCAGCTCCCGAGTTATGGAATGCCCTTCCCCAGACTCTATGAGAGACACAACCTACAGCCTACTGTATATCTCATTGCCCTACATTCTGTTTTTTTTTTATTTTGCTTTTTTTAATGTACTTTTTTCTTTATCACGATGTACAGCGTCCTTGGGTTTGGAAATGCGCTTTATAATAATCATCATCATCACCATCTTCATCATCATTATTATTCAATAGAAGTTGGTTTTATTCGGTATTTTTGTATGTTTGAATGAACCGTATGGCGTGAAACCGGCTGCGGTATCTCACGAGGCGTAATCCATATCCGAAACTGTACCTGAATACGTGCAGTCCACTCTTACTGCTAAATCTCAAATCATCCAGGTCTGAATTCTGACAGTTCTCCGTCTTGGCACTGTCCGTTTTCCAAACTGGTGGGATTTAGAAATATTCTCTGACATCACCCCCAGGGGTGCGAGGTTGTACACGTGTTGTTTGCAATCCAGCATAATACAGGTTTACCTTCACTTGTTGCACCACCAGCTGAAAAGCACAGACCCACTGTCCTGGAGGAATTACTGATTTGGGAGACTGAAATGACTCAACACAGTGCTATTTATAGTGCTCTCACAAATAAATCAACATCGCGAAAGAGACCAGCTCTGCTGCACTCGTAGTACCGAGGCGATTCGGCTACAATACTTTCGGCAGACATTGGAGGTCCATGGTCCTCCTCTCCGGGTCAGCTCACCTTCATGCAGGGCTCGGCGCGCTAGCGCCTCAAACTCAGCGAAGTTGTGCACCAGGTAGCAGTGCTCTTCCTTGGGGTGGGAGGCCATGTCATTCAGCTCCCGGATGTTTCCCTGCCATATCCCGAAGGTGAAGATCTCCACTCCCACGTCGCGCAGAGATGCGGCCGTGGGTCGTGGGTCTCCTCCGTTGGAATAGCCGTCCGTGATGAGGAATATGACTTTCGTCGCATTTTGCCGCGAATGTCGCAGTATTTGCTACAGGGAGGGAGGAGAAAAAAAGATATGGGTAGCAAAAAATGTTTGCAACAGGAAGTCAAAGATCTGTTTTTTTTTTCGTTATTTGAAAACGATGTGTTTTTGAAAGCTCTCAATTAGAACGCAACGGTACTGTTTATTTTAAAAATAGTTCAGTGTTACTTTTGCAAAGGGTGTCACAAATGTAATTATATCTATGTTGTCACTTCAGAAGACACCCTCAGCTCAGCTAACAAGTCTAAAAAAGGAAAATGAATCACATCTTGTTCCCTTTGGGCTACAACACAAAAGCATGAACAGTAGCAAACATGATAAATCTGGGTCCAAACCTAATATTTTCTGATTCTTAAAGAATTCCAGCTCAATGAATTAAAGTCTTTTCCATGCTAAGACAGACTTATCACCCATTTCTGTGCAATATACAATATGCATAACTCTCATTTGGTTTAGAAAGTGTCAGCAATAGCAACTTTTCATTATAACCTTTCTTGCATACAAGCAGTACAAGCAAGTGTACTTAGAGGAGCATTTTTCTAATCTTTGTTTTCCAAACTGTATAAAAAATATTTAGGTCCCCATTTGCTGAAGATATCGGTTGATATAACCCTCAACCCCTAACCACTAATCCATCTTGGTGTCCTGGACAGAATCTGTAAACCAAAACTCAGCGTGTGAGATATTAACATTTTGAGTCCTGACCCAGTGAGGGCATCTGACATAAATCTACAGCAATAAGTTAAAATGAAAAAAAAAACCCTACAACCTCATTAACACACCCCGGCTACTCCACCACACCATGTATAAATCATGTGGTCACCACTCAACCACCAGAGCACTGGAATATCTGAATGAGACAATTTTATATGAATGTATATACTCGGATACAACCCATAAACACAGTTCTGGTCCCAAGTCTAAATATAGTAAAATAATGGCGGACTCCTTTATAATTATAAATGACATAATGTGTTGTTTTTAAAAATGTTATTTTGGTTGTAAAAAAGGCCATTACCAAAACAAAATATCCATAAACGTTGTGTTTACTGTTTTTAAATCTTCTTATGCAATTAACATCTGCTTCTGCTTTGATGCCTTTGACTACTAAAAGAAAAGAAACACACCGTTTCTGTTGTGGGGCCTTCTGCAGGTGTAGAAGTCTCCATAGCCAAAACGTTGTGCTTCTCTTCCTTTCAGCATGGAATAAACCTTAACTTGTTCCCTTACAACCTACACATGCTGACGCAGCTCCCTACTTGTGTTGCTGGGGTATATTGCCAGTTGCCTTTTCATATTTCTGCATGGCGAACCACAACTCCTTTGTGCTTCGCTACACCTTGCTCCACTTTAGTCATGGAATACCGCAGTAAACTATTACAGGGGGACTCCCTTGGCCACACCATGACACGTGAAAGAAAAAGAGGGTGAAACTCTTTTAATATGGAGGTTGGGGTGGAAGGATGGAGGTTCTTTGTTGGAAACTGGCAAAAACCTCAGGCAAACCCACTGTGAAAGAGATAATTACAGATCCAGGAAAAACAAAAAGACGTCTCTGATGTTTCAAAGCAGGAGTGAGCTGGAACATATCTGCTGCGCCCAAACCATCTGTCTGTTGATGGTCATTAAGTCGTTCTAGTTGATACGGGTTACCAACCGACCCAAAATGTCACTCACTCCCTCAACGCAGTCACCGCGGTGATGTCAGTGTGGGAGTTCCCTGCAAATTAGGAGACAGACGTAAAACTATATGTTTGCCGTCTTTATGGTTTTTCAGAGTGATGACTATCTCATTGTAGGGTCTGCTCTTTCTGAGGAAAAACAGAGCTAGAGTGTGAGGGATTTATTATGGTACACCACTGTAGTGTTCCATCAATTGAGGAGAGAAAAAAATTCAGACTGATGCCATATGCATCGTGCAACACAGTCTTTAATTGTGGGTTTTCAAAATTGGCAGAAAAGCTCCTCCTTTTTGCACTGAGTCTCATCCAGGAGTCAAAGTGCAGGCTGGCTTAGAGACAAAGAGCTGAGCATGAAGGCAACACATGTGCAATTTCATCTTAACATGCAACTCAAGTTATAAAGCCAACATTTAGAAAACAAAGACTGTATTACAGAATATCATGAGCAGCAAGACTGCTGGAAACACTGTAGATATCCATTTTTTTTTCTCATAGTGTATCCTGTTCAAGAATGTATTACTCTAAAAACCTACGTTTTAAAAAGATACAATACTGAAAATAGCTACAGAACCTTTTTGTCTAAAGCATTATGTACAGTATAATTGATCAATCTAGTCTGTTCACACAAAAAAGTCGCACGTTCATTGTATAAAGTAGAAATATTTTGTCAGGATTTCAATAGCTGTGAAAGAATAGTTGCAGGAATGGAATAATAATGTAGTGCAGAAGCTCTTGACTCAGGTCCCAGCATCCAGCACGTTGTCTGTGTCTTGTTTAGCTATAAACAGCTTTTCCTCTAAGAGAAGTGTTAAACTGATAAAGTGTAACTAGACCAACGTACAGTATTCCTTTTCCATAACCTTTATCTGTTGAAGATTTACAGAAACATAAAAACCTGCTTAAATTCTACGGAATGATGGATCTGAACTTCAGTTAGTGTAATCGCAATTGCATAGAGTGCTTTATCTGCCTTTTAATTAATACAATACACACTCTTGACCTCTTATATACAACAAAAAGGTATTATCACATTTTATGAGTCACATTTTTCACTTTATGCTAAACAGACTTTACAGTAGGTGCCTTTGTAAGCTTGTGAAATCATAGCCATTGAGCTAAATGTATATCCTGGGACTGAAGCTTATCACCCAATCTATTTTGCTACTCTGTGTTGACATCTCTTTACAAGGCAAATGTCTTGTTACAGTATGTCCTGGTATGGTTGACACAGTCCCAGTTTTGTAGCAAATGTCCTTCATCCCAATTTAGGGGAGTATAGTTCCACCGCCCATGACACAGTATAACTAGGGGTGAGCCAAAGATATACAGGAGGCTGACACAATCTCTATACAATATGTTGATAAATGTGCTTCTCTCATTTGTTAAGGTGTTTACAATATGTGCTCCATATGTGATTCAGACATTTATCCTGACATTCAGGTGCCTAATAAGCAGGCTGGTGTTTTTCAGAAAACTCTGTTTGGAAGGAATAAGAAAAGTAGAATCAAGGTAGGTTAGATTTTATCCCTTGACTATTAAATTACTGTACATCCTGAAAAGAGAAGAAAAGAAACACAATTTTTTCACTGATAATTTAAAAAAAGATATGTTTATGTTGTTATGCAATTCATAAAATCTAAAATACAAACCACTTTAAGCAATCTGTTCCTAATTATAAATCAACAATCATGTTTAAGTATAGTTCAGGTGGGGAGCTGCGTCAGCATGTATAGGCAAAGGAACAAGTAATAGGTTTATACCAAGCTGAAAAGAGAAGAAAGAAAACACAACGTTTCGGCTGTGGAGCCTTCTTCAGGTGTGTTTAAGTATAGGTTGACATTGAATGGGGTAATATTAATGTACTGTAGAAAATTTAAATTCTAACAGACTTTCTACCACTGTCTAACTTTTGCATGTCAGTCAAAAGCTCATTCAAAAGTTGTTGATCGTCTAACGTTTCTCTGCAATACATCTCTTGTGCAGTTTCTGTACTCCAGACAGTTTTCTATCAGTTCCAGTTTCCAGTCCAGGTCTGCTGCCATCTTCTGTTTGAACCTGGTTCAATTGTCTTTATTTTTTCTCCCTCTTTGCTTTTCTTCCTTTTAAGTATTTAGATAAATACTTAAGTATTAGCAGTTAAAGCAGGAATGCAAGCGCAACATTAATATTTGACCATTCTTGTATTTTATTTCCCCAAACTTCAAAGAACAGTCCCTGCCAGAATAGAGAAAGTAAACAAACTTATAAAAAGAACTGTCTGACAGTCTGCACTAGGTTTTAAAACTTTGTTTTAACAAGGCATTTTTGCTGTGCATGAAATATCTTATTTTTTTCTAAAATGAAATTAATTCTAATCACCAAATAAATTAAATGATTAAAATTAGACAGGAGAAGTACTCTAGGTTTCCCTCAGTCTGAGGTGTCTAATGGATACAGTGGCTCTACTTGATAAAAGAGAGAGACTTATGTTTTTTATTCTCTTTTTGCAAATACAGTATAATATTTTGAATAATAACTAAGCCTTGCAGCTACACATCTAATGAAAGCGCTATGCTGTATGAAATTATACAGAACTGAACTGAAACTGTACTTATAGGACTCCTCCATAGAGTGACTTGACTTTTATAGAGAACACAATCTTTATTTACCTCTTTTTTGTGTTACATTTAAATTCCATAAAGGTGGATTGAATTAGAACATACATTGCATAGATACAGCAGGTAAAGAGCAGCTGTTTTTAATATTTTTCATATTGTGAAGCCATAACTGCGGTTTACTCTTCTGTTTCTCTGTACTAATCCAATCATGACTTGGATTTTTCCATTTAAGGATTCACTTTGTAAAGTGATGTCTTTCCAGTTTGCCATGCTAGATTTTTTTCTGATTAAAATAATGACTATTTGAATACAACTGCCAATGTATTCATGCTGAACATCAACACCAGAACATTCCTCTATTCTGGCTATTCTTCCTGAATTACTAGGTACTTGTAATACAAGTACTTGTACTTGTAAAGTGGAGAAATTTCTATGCCTTCGTGGATGAGAAGGACGATACTTCATGTACAATGGAGCCTTTACAGTAACAGGAGAAAAAATAAAATGTACAATTAATATAACCCTGCATCTTAAGTGATATGAATACAATGTACTTTTGCTGCATAATATTTATATTAAGTTTTTATGAGGTCTAACAGGAATAAAACGTATAGCCCAGCAAACAAAAACAAAATCGATCAATTCAAAATGTGCTGTATGTATTCTGAGAAAACATCCCCTCACACAGTCATCGGTACAACCTGAAATGTCTGGCAACACTCTGGGA